AGATAGATAGATAGATAGATAGATAGATAGATAGATAGATAGATAGATAGATAACAAAGCAAAACAGAACAAAGAGACAACATTTATTAAAGGCATTGGGGAACTATTTATTCCAGGATCCCTTGCCCCTTAAGGGAGCAGGCCCCTAGGTGTTCCAGCCACCTAATTTCATAGCCTCTTTCCATTGCTATCAAAGGCATTACCATGGCCACCAGCTACAACTCCAGATCTAGACTAACTGCTAAAAATAGAGATAAGTCCACGGAGCCCAAAAAGGACCCCTAAGGCAGTAGAGAAAGATGCACACAGATGCCATCAGGCATTAGAAAGGCAAGTGGAAAAATGTACACGAGCACCTGCACAGCCCACCTCTTCACCACTCATCATACCCTCTACCTCACAGGCCCAGAACCTTCCAACCGACCCTCTGGATTTATCCAGAAGGAGCAGCATATCGATACAACCTCCCCAGGAGGCTCTTTCTAACGTTCTTTCCCCAAGGAGGGCCCCAGAGGCAACATTTACACCAACTGCAGCTGGCCTCAGACAAGAGGAGGAACTTCCGGAGGAAATCTCTGCCAACATGAGGGCATGGATAGAGCTAGCTATCCAGATGGGCATAGCAGCAGGCGTCCAACAGGCTATTTAGGCAGGACGAACACCCTCAGCTTCGGTTTGCAGATCTCTTTCTGAACGATCTCTGGCATCACGGATCCACATCTTCATCAGGTACCCCCCCCTGCAGAACTATCGTTGCCCACTGTCAGAGACCCTCAGTACACACAGGATATGGGAGATCAAGGGGATCCAATGGATCAAATGGAGGAGGAGTCGATACACACCGTTAACCAGGTATTGTCCACTAGAAAGGGGGATGTCTGACGATGAAGGCCTCTCACTTGACCTCTCCGTATTTACAGGATTATTCCGCCCACAATTATTTAAATCCCTGCTGTTTAAGACACGGCTGGATAATACGGGTACCCCTCCCCCACCAAATACTCCAGGGGAAGCAGTGGATCTCATATTCTCTCAACCAGTCACTGAGGCAGAGGTTATCCCTGTGCCATATATGTTTTCCAATTTAGTACAAAAACAATGGCTGCAGCAGCCTCATATCCCACTCCCACAGGACATGATAAAAAATACTATAATTTGATACCCGAGTTCTCTAAATTTCTAAACACTCCAGAAGTGGACGAGCCTATCATTGCATTTGCATCTTCCTCAGCCATCCCAAGTGAAGCTGAAGAGGCTCTCAAGCCTGAGGAAAAGAGGGCGGAACTAGCCCTCCATAGGGCACATGTCTTGGATGCATGGGCCATCAGAGCAGCCACACTGCCTCCTTTTTCACCAGATATCTCTCAGATGGCTCCACCACCTGAAGGATACCATTCTAACCTCAAACATTAGGGCACATCAAGATGTGGCTAAATTAATCGCTGCTGCAGAGTTTTCAGCAGATGCTACCTTCAATGTAGTTAAATTTTCCTCTAGGGCCATTGCTTCCCAAATTGCGACTAGAAGGTTACTTTGGCTCAGGCATTGGCAGGCAGATGTCAAGCACAAGTGGCGGCTTGCCTCAGCTCCCATCTCAGAGAACAAACTATTTGGCAGTGCGCTTGAACCCCTCCTAATTGAAACCAGAACCAAAAAGAAAATTCTTCCCTCTCTTTTTTGTCGATCAGAGTCCAGATCACCACAGCCCTTTTGTAGGGGTTCCTTTCGCCCCTTCTACCAAACCTACTATCCAAGATTTCAAAGATAGCCTGGGTTCAGACAACAGACAGATAGAATTGAACCTGGGGACAGATATAGAAGGGGACTCCATCCTAGGAGACAATTTCAAGGAACAGAATCTAGGCCCTTCTGCAGGTCCAAGTAATTACCACAACGAGATTCCCATTGACAGTCGCCTAAAAAGGTTTGCTGACCAATGGGATTCCTCTACCACTGACGCATGGGTCAGGAACACAGTACAATTTGGTCTGGCACTGGAGTTCAGCTCCATCCCCCCAGATTTTTTTATGAAGTCCCCAATTTCCAGGGATGCAGAAAAAAGATTTCTCATGGACACAGCCATAGCACATCTACTAGAGATCCGGGCCATGCAACCCGTCCCTTCTAATCAAAAAGGTCATGGTTTTTATTCGCACTTCTTCATGGTCCCTAAAAATTCAGGGGGATGGAGGGCAATCCTGGACTTAAAACGTCTAAACCAATATTTAGTTTACTGAAAATTTAAAATGACCATTCTCCAATCCATCTTACTCAGCGTCAGAAAAAACGATGTCCTTACCTCCATAGACCTCACGGAAGCTTACTTACATATCCCAATTAGGCCCTCACATTTCAAATTCCTTCGTTTCTGTTACAACAACGTCCATTATGAATATATTGCTCTCCCATTTGGCCTAGCTTCAGCTCCCAGAACTTTTACAAAGGTCTTGGCTGCCTTGGCAGCATCATTCAGAGATAGGTCCCTCCGACTTCAGTGCTACTTGGATGACATTCTTATTCTGACATCTTCCATCAATCAAGCAAATTCAAACATTCAAACTACACTTGTAACCCTACACAACATGGGTTCTCAATCAATTGGTCAAAAAGTCATCTACTAGACTCATTCACCTTGGTGCCATCATTGACACCCTGGAAGGCAAAGTTTTCCTCTCCCCTGACAGACAAGAAAGCATTAGAGATTTGGCTCAACAGATCAGAACTCTTTAGGAAAGTACAACTATGTCTCCTTTCTAAATTGCTCGAAAAAGTGATTTCTTGTATTTCTATTATCCCTTGGACCTGGTTCCATGCAAGATCCCTGCAGTGGTTCCTGTTGCCATACCAACGCACCGGGAGAGATGACGCCAGGACTTGCGTAAAAGTTCCATCAACTGTTCTCAGGTCTCTATGATGGTGGACACAACCCGAAATCAGCAAGGGATGCCCTTTCAAGGATCCACATAGGTCGACTGTTACAACTGATGCCAGTCTAGTGGGATGGGGCCCCCACTTCCAATCACATACAGTGCAAGGCCTTTGGACAAACTCAGAGAAGGCACACAATATCAACTGGCTAGAACTGAGAGTGGT